AACAGGGGAGGGGCAGAGAGAGAGGGAGACACAGAATCGGAAACAGGCTCCAGGCTCCGAGCCATCAGCCCAGAGCCTGACGTGGGGCTCGAACTCAGGGACTGCGAGATCGTGACCTGGTTGAAGTCGAACGCTTAACCGACTGCGCCACTCAGGCGCCCCAATAGATTAATACTTTTTAATGATAATACATTTTTGGAGTCAAAGATTAAAAACCCTTATATTTACATATTAGTATGTTATAATAATGAATAATAACAGCTTAAGAACAAATGAAAAAAAACAACTGAAAAGAAATTTTCGTTTTAGAGATATTAATATGCAAAAAAACTATTTTGAATGAACTAAAATTTGCCCTCACTAAACAAAAATATTACATCTCAAATTTTACATTCTGTCTTACCATTTTAAATTTCAAACACAAGTAAAAAGTCTAAGCGGTCACATAGAAAGATGGAATTTTAGTAACTCAAGTTGTGTGTCCTTGTTTTTACAAGCACTATGGTATGAGGGTTTATTTCTAATCTTCTATTTAAATTTGGAAATACATGATACCTCTAGGGTTAGAGACAGAAAGCAAACTCAAATTATTCTGTCCCATTACTGACTTACTCTTGAAACAAAAGCATGTGGCTAAGACCTAATATTTTGGAAGCTGACTGTGTAACTGGGAATTTACCATATTAACTTTCAGGAAGAATGCAGTATTTATTAAAGTATAAGGAATAAAAATGTGCTAATTTTAAGTTTACCTCTATTATTAAAATGTGAGAGAATGTCAACAACTGTTTAGAAGTTAGACCAATCAAAGATTTTATTGGGGATGAGTATGTTATCACTGACATTATTTAGAATTGCTGAAACATGGTGATAATCAAAAGCGTATCTACTTTAACTTGACTTTACAATTGTTTTTAGAACCTCCAAAGAAAATGCAGCCCCTATTGCCTGCACCCAGGGGTGATCACTTCCATCATCTCATACCTATTTTGCCATTATGTGAACCACCTGGACCTGTAGTGTATACCCTGATTGGTCTCTCCTACCAACGATAAACTGCTTCTTAGATTTGTAGCAGGAAAATAACTAAATCTGTTAAGGATAGCAGAACAGAACTTCCTTTCCCACCTCCTTTTCTATTGCAATGAGAAGTCATTCAACATATTCTTGGCAACTACGAGGAAACCTTTCACAGGATGGAATAAAAGAGATTCATCCAGAGAACAGTGTTCTGGCAATTTGGTGGGGGAGATGTATTTGTAATATTTAAGAAAGTGCTTCTTGCCTCCTGTTTACCCCTTTTGCATATGGTCTCCTTTGTATTGAAGAATAGCTTACTAGTTCTTTCAGAGAAGATTTGTAGATACTGAACTCTCTTAGCTGTTGTAAGACTAAAATTTCCCTGTTTTCACTGCTCTCATGCAATGGTTCAGCTTGGTGGTTCTCAAGTATAGTCCCTACAACAATAGAATCGGAAATATGTAGGACCTTATTAGAAAGTGTGTTCTCAGCCCACCTAAAACCTCCTGAATCAGAAACTCTGGGGGTTATGTTTTCATAAACCCTCCAGATGATTCTGATGCACACTAATGTTGGAAAGCCACTGATTTAACTAGGTAAAGACTCTTAGGTTGATACTAATTTTTTCCTCGGTGTTTCGAGAATATAATGTTACAGCCTTTTACCATCTACTATACTGATAAAAAGACTACTGTCATTCTGTCTTTATATTATATCCAACCATATGAAATTTCCAGTATTCAACCATATTTTATTGAGGTATATTTACAAATAATAAAATTCACCAGTTTGAAGTATATAATTAAATGAGTTTTGGCAAATGTACAACAATGTAACCACCATCACAATCAAGATATAAAACATTTCCAACACCCAAAATGTTCCCTCAACACCCATTACAGTCTATCCTCTCTTGCTATGCTGGCAATCTACTCTTGATCACCATAGATTACATGGAATTTTCTAGAATTTCACATACTTGGAATCATACAGCGTATGCTTGTTTGTATCTTGGCCCTTTCATTTAGCATAATGCTTTTGGGCTTTATTCATTTTACTGTATTTGCCAGTAATTTGCTCCTTTTTTTTTTTTTTTTTTTTTTTTGGCTGGCTAACATTCTACTATATGGATAAACTGCAATCTGTTCATCTGTTCACAAGTAGTGGACATTTGGGTCAGTACATTTGTCTTGCTTTCTAGCTATTTACAGAGGGAGGGCAATTCCCATAGCAGTTACTCCTTCATAAGCAGAAACAGAGTTCCTACTCAGTCATTTTTGATCTATAGTGATCTTTATTTCACCTGGCCTAATCCAATAGATAATCTGTCCTATTTTTTTTTAAACGTTTATTTTTGAGAGACAGAGAGAGGCATGAGTGGGGGAGGGGCAGAGAGAGAGACACACAGAATCTGAAACAGGCTCCAGGCTCTGAGCTGTCAGCACAGAGCCCAACGTGGGGCTTGAATCCATGAACTGTGAGATCATGACCTGAGCCGAAGTCAGATGCTCAACTGGCTGAGCCAGCCAGGTGCCCCATCCCGTCTATCTTGAAGTTCTAAGGTTATCTCTTTCACCTTGACTTTTTTTTTTAACCTAATTTCCTATATTTCCACTCTACTATATCTAGATTTGGATTTGTTTTTATTTATTCTACTTAATTCATTTGTACAATTTCTGCCTGAAGACTCATATCTTTCTTTGATTCTCAAGATTTTTAGCCATTATCTGTTTAAATATTTGCTCTCTTCCTATCTCTGTTTTCTTTCTCTGCAATCCCTACCAGACCTATGATATAACTTATTTCAACTTCCACAACTCCTAATTTCCCTTTTGGTTTTTCTGTTTTTTTCTCTCTGTGCTCTGCATTCTGCGTAATTTCTTTATATGTATTCTGTAATTCTAATTCTGTAAGTTTCTCTTTAGCTACTCTGAATTACTATTTAACCTTGTTTTCTCAATGAGTTTTCTCCATATTTTAACTTCCAGGGTTCCTGTATGTTCTAGTTATTTATTGCCACATAATAAACTATCTCAAAACTTAGCAGCTTAAAACAATCTTTTTATTTTGCTTGTGATTTCATACATGAGGAATTCAGAAAAGATTCCGTCAGAGGTTCTGGCTTAGGGCCTCTTCTGCAGTTGCAGTCAGACAGTGGTTAGAGCTCGCACAGCAGTGACAGAAGACACTGCATATGGCCAGAGATCTCTCTTTCTTTAGTCACCCGACCTCTACATGTGGTCATTTTGCATGGGCTAACTTGGGCTTCCTCACCCCTGCCAATTCCTAAGCAGTTGAACTACTTACATGGCAGCTCAGGACTCCAGCACAAGTGATCCAGTTAGCAAGGCAAAAACTGCGCCACATTTCTGATATAGTCTCAGAAGTCACACAGCATCACTTATACCTCAATTTTTAAATAGTTTTTTCAATGTGCATTTGTTTATTTTTGAGGGGGCGGGGGAGAGACAGAGGGAGTGGAAGAGAAAGGGAGAGAGAATCCCAAGCAGGCTCCACACTGTCAGCATGGAACCTGATGCAGGGCTCGATCTCATTAACCCTAAGATCATGACCTGAGCTGAAATCAAGAGCTGGTCACTTAACGGAACTTTGCCACACAGGTGCCTCCACTTATACCTCACTGTTTTCATTGCAAGTGAGTCACAATCGTGTCCCTCAAAGGAGTTGACATAGACCTCACACTTTTTGATGGAAAGAGTATGAAGGAAATGTTGTAAGAGAAAAGCATGAGGGATGGGAAACATTGCCGTGGCCATCCGTGTGTAACCATTTTGGAAGATACAGTCTGCCATGCTACACGATTCTTTTCAAATTCTTCCATTTTAAAGAAGTATGTCCTATTCTTTCAAGTTCTATTCCTACCCTCCCCTACTTTCTTAATACTTTTAAGCATACTTAAAGTCCCTTTTGCATTTGTGCCCTTGGTTGTGGATAAGACCCCCATCAAGCTTTTCCAAGATTGCCATTGCTGAGCATTCAATGGGATTCACTGATCACACACAAATGTTTAACTTAGATTTTTGGCACAGGGCTGCTATGTGATGAGGTTATTGTGAGAATTCGAGCCCTACATAGGCAACACAGAATAAGAATCTTTCTTTCTTTCTTTCTTTTGCTTTCTTTCTTTCTTTTTAATGTTTAGTTTTGAGAGACAGAGAGACAGAGCATGAGTGGGGGGGGGGGGGGGAGAGAGAGAGGGAGACACAGAATCAGAAGCAGGCTCCAGGCTCCGAACTGTCAGCACACAGCGTGACATAGGGCTTGAATCCATGAACCGAGAGATCATGACCTGAGCCGAAGTCGACGCTTAACCGAATGAGCCATCCAGGTACACCAAGGACCTTCATCTCTTAGCTCTGTTAGTATCCATGTCCCAAGGATAGGAGCCTGGCCCATGGTCTGTGGGGGGCCTAACTATAGGCTATTCCCATGTGCAGAAGTAGAGACTTGACTGCCCTTTCCAGTTGTTAAAATCCATACCCCAAGATGCTGGGTAGCATTCATCTCTGTGGATTCTCAATTTTTGACACATGGAAATTTCTATTTCTTATTTAGTAGCTCAGACACTTTTTTTTGTTTATTTTTGAGAGAGAAAGAGAGAGAGTGCATGGGGGAGTGGGAAACAGGATCTGAAGTAGGCTCTGTGTGGACAGCAGAGAGCCCAATGCGGGATTCTAACTCACAAACTGTAAGATCATGATGACCTGAGCCGAAGTCAGACACTTAACTGACTGAGGCACCCAGCGCCCCTCAGCTATACACTTTTTAAAAAAAATGTTTTTAGTGTCTAGCAATTTTATGTGCCAGGGGTGGAAAGAGGATTTCCCGTGTTTTCTTGGTCCTCATTTTGATGAAAGTTAACTGTGTTTCTAAATATAGAGTTTTGGATTGCTGAATGCTTGCATTTAATGAACAGATAAGCTCTTTTTTTTTTTATGGATTACCTAACCTCATTTTAGGAGGAAATGAGAGAATAAGGCTTTTGTGTGGAGAGACCAAGAAGGCATGGGTGTGTATTTGAAGAATAGACACGTTCGGAACCTATTGGATTCAGGTCACAGATGTCAAGGACCCATTCTTGAAGAGTTGTTTCAGTGTAAGTCTGCTCCCCCCCCATAAAATTCCAGAGGACTCTGGAGACAGTCACTATTCAGTGACCTTTCTATCCCTATCAACTGACTATCCAGTCATCAGTTGAGTAGGAACTCCAAACTGTGTATTCTCAGAACCCTTGACCACAGGCTTTCCACTTGAGAGATGAGGCATAGCAACACCCTGCCCTGCCATGATCCTATCCATGCCACAATGTTTAGCAGCCCCAGGAAAACTCCTCAGAAAACTGAAGTGACCATTCTGGGAACCCAGCAAGGTTTGGCTTACTTTTACATCATGAAGAAATAAAGCATTATAGAGCACCAAAAACCAGGGCAGCTAGAGGGCTCATCCATGTCACAAGTGCAGATTTTAGACACAGGTGAGATAGGAGGTAATGAGAATTCCTAAGGAAATGCAATCTAATCCAGCAGAGTCAGTTCTCAGGGGGAAAATGGGATTTTACTAAAATTAGTCTTCAGGGCATTTTCTCCCATCTCCACCTCTTCTTGATACTTATTCAAAGGGAATTATTTTCAGACTTCTGAAATTGTCCTTTATTTTATTTTATCTTTTATTTTTATTTTTTTTATATTTATTTATTTTTGAGAGACAGAGAAAGACAGAGCACAAGTGGGGAAGGGGCAGAGAGAAATCGAGACACAGAATCAGAAGCAGGCTCCAGGCTCCAAGCTGTCAGCACAGAGCCCGATGCAGGGCTTGAACTCACAAACCATGAGATCATGACCTGAGCCAAAGTCAGAAGCTTAACCGAGTGAGCCACCCAGGCACCCCTGAAACTGTCCTTTAAAATGGATACTTGGGAGGGTTAATATTTATACAACTGCTCTTGTATAAGCAAAATGATAATGATAAAGATGACTCACCAAATACTACCCATTCCCCAAGGTCCAGTCAAATTCTGGCCCCCGTTGTGAAGTCTTTTCTGTCAACACCAGTCCATTCTGACCTCTCCTTTCCTCTGAGCTCCAATTTACTGTCTATTCCACTCACTGTTCATCTCACACATGCCTCAGGATTTTTCCTGCCATTGTCTGAAGTTATTTACTTCTAACGTTTTTTGTAAACTTCTGATACATCGAGGTTGTGTCTCTTTAACCAGATTATAGAATTTTTAAGTCCAGGAATATACATTGCACATCTTCATTTTAATAATTTATAGCACTCACCATGGGCTAAGCATGACACAAGGGCTCCATAAATATTAATAAATGATAGCTTGTTTGTTCCTTCTTTTGTTTGGAAGCTTACATGCTACACCATATATTCAGAAACTGGGATGCTCTGGAATACAAAGAACCCATGAAGAAGTGATTCAGTCTCACCATGCTTCGGTTTCCCACCACAGCATGGAGATGACAATACTTGCTAGTCTCTGTTACACTGGTAGATGAGGACCTTGTTGTTGTGGGTATTAGTTTTTTAATCATACGACACAAATAACTTTAAATATAAGCTTACTTATATAAAGTGTACCTCACTTTACACAAGTGACATAGCTCTGAAAAATTGGATGAAAAATGAGTTTTCACTGATTTATTGTTTGACTTCATCATTTAAAGTTTGATATGGGTCTGTCAGTTGTGAAATCAGTTATGCAGTAGGAACTTGAAAATAAAGAAAAAACAAAGCTCGGGTCAGATTGAATTGACTTGAGATAAGGACTCTGCCCTAATTTCTACATTTATAAATCCAGACTTTTCTTCTTCACTATCCTCCAACAACATAGAGAAGATCCACCAGTGATCCATCATTCAAATCCCTCTATGTCTGATCTGTACAGTCCCTGCTCTTGCATATTCTCTTCTGACCCCACGTGGTGAAACTACAAATGGAGTAAGCCAACTTCCTGCTTTCAGGGCTCTTGAGCCTTGAACATCAAGCTCCTCTGAGGATCATATAGCCCTGTAGATTTCACCATTACCAATCTCTTCAACCCCCCAAGGGTATCACCACCACCAGAACTCAAAGTAACTGACTTTGCTTCCCACTTAGCTGGAAAAAAAAAATATGCAAGTGTGTGTGTGTGTGTGTGTGTGTGTGTGATAAAATAGGAACAATCTCAACAAAATTGCTACTTTGTTTAACCCCACTCACAACCCTCCCTAACAAACTTATGTAACTGAGATGTGATTTTGGGTTTCCCTCTATCAGAGACCTAAGCAATTTGACCTAAGCCCTAAACCCACATTTCTCTACCTGTATAGGTCAAGAGACCCTCCTTAAGGTTTATGCAAATGCAACACTTAATTGCCTTTGCCTTATCTATTCCTTTTGCACCTTGTGTTTTGTCTCTAAGGAGCCCCTGACAGCCAGGATGCTCATCTTGGCCCCTTCACTATTTTCCACAGGAAATCCTATCACAATAATGGTTTTGTGAATTTCATAACTTCACTGAAGGCTTAAGGAATTATTGGGAGGTATCATTTGGGACACACCCTGACTTTCACCAGTGAAGTGAAATTTACACCCCATCTCCTATGTCAGAAGCCATCCAAACAAAGCACTTGTTTCTAATCCATGATCTTCAACACCATTAGCCATTGAAGTGTAGCTCACTTCCTAATGTTTATTTTCTTTTTCCTTTTTTTTTAAATGTTTTTATTTATTTAATTTACATCCAAGTTAGTTAGCTTATATTGCAACAATGATTTCAGGGGTAGATTCCTTAATGCCCCTTACCCATTTAGCCCATCTTCCCTCCCACAACCCCTCCAGTAATCCTCTGTTCTCCATATTTAAGAGTCTCTTATGTTTTGTCCCCCTCCCTGCTTTTATATTATTTTTGCTTCCCTTCCCTTGTGTTCATCTGTTCTGTGTCTTAAAGTCCTCATATGAGTGAAGTCATATGATATTTGTCTTTCTCTGACTGACTAATTTCACTTAGCATAATACCCTCTAGTTCCATCCACATAGTTGCAAAGGGCAAGATTTCATTCTTTTCGATTGCTGAGTAATATTCCATTGTATATATATATATATATATATATACCACATCTTCTTTATCCACTCATCCATTGATGGACATTTGGGCTCCTTCCATACTTTGGCTATTGTTGATAGTGCTGCTATAAACATTGGGGTGCATATGTCCCTTCGAAAAAGCACACCTGTATCCCTTGGATAAATACCTAGTAGTGCAATTGCTGGGTCGTAGGGTAGTTCTATTTTTGGTTTTTTGAGGAAACTCCATAGTGTTTTCCAGAGTGGCTGCACCAGCCTGCATTCCAGCCAACAATGCAAAAGAGATCCTCTTTCTCAGCATCCTGGCCAGCATCTATTGTTGCCTGAGTTGTTAATGTTAGCCATTCTGACAGGTGTAACGTGGTATCTCATTGTGGTTTTGGTTTGTATTTCCCTGATGATGAGTGATGTGGAGCATTTTTTCATGTGTCGGTTGGCCATCTGGATGTCTTCTTTGGAGAAGTGTCTATTCATGTCTTTTGCCCATTTCTTCACTAGATTATTTGTTTTTTGGGTGTTGAGCTTGAGAAGTTCTTTATCGATTTTGGGTACTAACCCTTTATCTGGTATGTCGTTTGCAAATATGTTCTCCCATTCCATTGGTTGCCTTTTAGTTTTGCTGATTGTTTCCTTCTCTGTGCAGAAGCTTTTTATTTTGATGAGGTCCCAGTAGTTCATTTTTGCTTTTGTTTCCCTTGCCTCCGGAGACGTGTTGAGTAAGAAGTTGCTGTGGCCAAGATCAAAGAAGTTTTTGCCTACTTTCTCCTCTAGGATTTTAATGGCTTCCTGTCTTACATTGAGGTCTTTCATCCATTTTGAGTTTATTTTTGTGTAAGGTGTAAGAAAGTGGTCCAGGTTCATTTGTTCAACTGGACATGTTGCTGTCCAGTTTTCCCAGCACCACTTGCTGAAGAGACTGTCTTTATTCCATTGGATATTCTTTCCTGCTTTCTCAAAGATTAGTTGGCCATACATTTGTGGGTCCATTTCTGGGTTCTCCATTCTGTTCCACTGATCTGAGTGTCTGTTTTTGTTGCAGTGCCATACTGTCTTGATGATTACAGCTTTGTAATACGGCTTGAAGTCACACTAATGTTTATTTTCTGAGGTGAGTCTGTCCATTCTGCCCAGTCTTCAGATTTTTGTCATTCTGAAAAATGAAAATTTCAACATCTCCTTTTATTCATCTTTTTTTAAACTTTTGTTTCCATTTCCAGTGGAAAGGCTTTTATTTTTTTCAACAGTTGAAGCCTTATTCCACCACTCATTATGGGGGTTCTACCATCCTCTAAGGCCTTGCTCTACCAATTATCTCTTTTTTTTTTTTCCTGCAACTCTCCCCACAGCCTACAGACATGCCAAGTTAATTTCCTTTTAAAAGAAACAAACATTATTAAACTAAAAAGTTTCTGCATAGCAAAGGAAACAATCAACAGAATGAAGAGACAACCTACAGAATGGGAGAAAATATTTGCAAACCATACAGATGATAAGGGGCTAATAGCCAAAATATATAAGAAACTCAAACCACACAATAGGTAATCATCATCATCATCATCATAATAATAACTCAATTAAAAAATGGGAAGGACCTGAATAAACATCTCTCAAAAGAAGACACACAAATGGTCAACAGATATATGAAAAGGTGCTCAATATCACAAATCATCCAGCAAATGTAAATTAAAACTGCAATGAGATATCACCTAACCTCTGTTAGAGTGGCTACAATAAAAAAGACAAAAGCTAACAAGTGTTGGTGAAAATGTAGAGAAAAGGGATATCTTGTACCCTGTTGGTTGATTATAAATTGGTGTAGTCATTGTGGAAAACAGTATGGAGATTCCTCAAAAAATTAAACATAGAACTACCATATGATCCAGCAATCCCACTTCTGGGTATATACACAAAGGAAATAAAATCAGGATCTCAAAGAGATATCTGCAATGCCCATGCTCACCAAAGCGTTATTCGCAAGAGTCAAGACATGGAAACAACCCAAGTGTCCATAAACAGATAAATGGATAAAGAAGATATGATATATATATACAATGGAATACTATTCAGCCCTTAGAAAGAAGGAAATCCTGCCTTTTGTGATAACATGGATAAACCTGGAGAACATTATGCTAAGTGAAATAAACCAGATGGAGAAAAACAAATACTGTGTGATCCAACTTATATGTGGAACCTAAAAAAAAAAAAAAAGTGAAACTCATAGAAGCAGAGAGTAAAAAGAGTGGTGGCTTCTAGGAGCTTGGTTGGGGGATAGGGAGATGTTGATCAAAGTGTACAAGGTGTAGTTACATTGAATGAAAAAATCTAGAGATCTAATGTATATGCCTGATTGCTATACTTAATAATACTGCACTGAACACTGGAAATATGCTAAGAGAGTAAACTTCTGCATTTATCATGCCAAAATTGGTAACTGT